TGCTGGGCAATTTGAATTGGTGGAGCTACTTCAGACAATGGTGGTTCCAGGAGAACGAATCCACGACACGCAATCCAAAAGCATTGCACATTTGCCCTTCGAATGCGTGAGGCTCAGTGCATGCAGTGAGCGACAGTGTAATCCGAAAGCCGATAGGGTGCTGCATGCAGCCGGAGCAAGCATCTAAGTTTCACTCGCCGTCTTTGATGGAGCTCATCAGCCTTTTCCTGTACCACGGCAGCGATGCCACCGTAGCTGTGGCCCTCTCTCTGCTCCCCTTGTTGTGTCAGCAGCTTATCGCCAACTTGGATGCACTGACTGGCAGCGACACGCAGAAGGCAGCGTCCCGCACCGATGCCGATTTCGGGAAGCCCATAGATGTGTATGAGCTGGATGCACTTTTGCACAGCTTTCACGAGGACTCTTAGTCAGAGTCAGTTTGTGGACAGTGTCGTGTTTCGGTGTGTGTCACGCATCTGAGCTGCAGGAGAGACCGTTCCACACGCTGGAGCAGCACTTGGCACACAAGGGCTTTTCTCGCAATTTGTGTTCAAAACGGGTCTACAAGGAGCCTTTCTGCATGTTTTGGACAGTTGGGACACGCGTTTGTTGAAAGAGCTCTCCACCCCATCCACCCCTAAACCCTAAACTTTGTTGCGCGAGCTGCGAAGACCTCGCACCCCCAAACCCGAAGCTTTTTACAAATCCACGCCCTTGTCATCAGCAGTTGTTCGCAGGAGTACGGTTGCGCGTACCGCTACAAAGCGGCGAAGCTTGTGGAAAACGCAAAATACCTGCAGGCGGGACGTTCCTGACTCAACACATGCACGAAACCGAACTCGTTGCAGGTGTGCGTCGACGCTGGCACGCCCGGAATGCTGAAGGAGTTGTTCGCATCTTTGTTTGTGCCTGAAGTGGGCGCTGGCTTGATCTTGCCACAACAAGTCGTGAGCTCATCAGGGCGCTGCGTGTACTTGTCGTGAATGGCAGCATGAACCATTAACCGTTTTGCGTGGATGCTCTGGCTCACGGCTCGCAGGAACCGGAGCATTGCAAAGCTTTTTTCATAATTTCCCCTGCTGGTGATAGATGATGCCTTTTTGAGTGGAGATGCGATGGGAATGGGTGATTTAGTGCCCCGCTTCCAGTGGGCAGATGTCACGCTACGAGTGCTGCTGCAAATGGTGGGCCACCCACAGCTGCAGCGATCGCTGTTGTGTTCCAGCCAGGGCAGTGACTCAGACTTCAGTGGAGGTGCAGCAGCCTGGGAGTGTGCCGCGTCCATGCTCGAAGCATCTGCTGGCACCCATGGCCTCAGCATAGACCTCGCCTCACGCACAGCGACTGAGCAAGGGCTGCATGTAGCAACATGAGGTTTTTCTGTTTCGGTTGGAAGTCTTTGTTGTTTGCACCTCCGCGGAAGTCAGTTTTGTATTCCGGTTGAAATTGTCTGATATTTGTTAAATTGTTCTCGTTTCCAGTGCCGTTTGGTAGTGTGTCCAAGAGTGCTGCCTCTCCAGGAGTTTGACCCGACCATGCGGCGATTGCTGACCACATCGCTGATGGCAGATTGCTGCGTTTTCTCAGATATCCTCGAGATTTGGGGAGATGACACGACATCAAGCCAAGCAGCCATCGTGCAGTGTTGCTCCTTTGAAGAAAAACTGCTCTTGACTCGCAGGCTGGCCAGAAAGACACATGGGTATTGTTTTACCCACGACAGACTGTGTCCGTTCGCTTCAGAGGCCAAAGTGCGTGTGCAAGGCCCCCCTTGCCCAGACTTTTCAAAGATTGGGTCTCGGACGGGCCTCGCTGGCCCACGCCTACCTGCGCTCTTAGCAGCAGGTGCTAAGGCAGATGCTGTGAGGTCGGCAGTTCTCCTCCTGGAGAACGTTCCGGAGTTTCCGTTAGACTTGGCCGAGGCAGCATATGGTCCGCGGTACACCTGGTATGGCCAGCTGCAGGATCCGTCCATGGTGGGCTTCGAATGCACAGCCCGACCGCGGTGTCTCAGCTTCTAAGCTTTTGCTAGCTGCGAGCATTTTCTCCTTGCTGCCTCAGCGGCACTGAGGCACTACATGGCTGGCATCGACTTTCGTGCCTGCAAACCACACTGTGACTTCAGAGACTTGGTCGTGTGTGTGCAGCACCACTTGCGCAGGGAGCCACCCTTGGGGCAGCTTGGCTCTAAGGGTCTCGGCTAGAACTAATGACCTCCTTGTGCTGCCCAGGTGGGCATGGTTTGCTTGACCCGATTTGTGTCACAGGCCCCGGGCTTTGCTGTGTGGCAGCTCGCACGATGTGAAGGAGGACGTGTTCCAGCTAGGACAACAGCGGCAGCATCTTCAGGGCCTTCGTGCAGGCGACCTTCTTCAACTGGAGCCTGCGCAGCTTCTGAACCTGCACGAAGCAAAGAGGTTGCAAGCTTACGTGGAGGCGTGGGCAGCAGCATCCATGCGGCCGTCTGGAGTCTGCGACTGGGAGGACTTGGTTTGTCACTTGGGTGACAACCCTGCAGCTGGATGGAAATCGTGGTCTGCGGTCAGCAACAGGCTGCCTACGCTCAGACGCTGCGGCGGGCTCATGGCCATGCCGGCGGCAGGGAGACACTTGCTCCTGCGCGAGCTCTTCGCTTCGATGGGCTTCCCGACTTTTGAGCCCCTGGCCGCGGCAGCAGCTGTGCCCCTGTATCAGGTGTTTAAGCCACTTTCCCGGCTGACATACTTACATCAGAGACAGGCCCTGGGCAACAGCCAAGTTGTACCTCAGGTGGGTGTTTTCGCGGCCTGTGTGCTGGCCAGTTTGTCTGAGAGTGTTGCGTTGTAGTGGTCGCTGTAAAAAGTTCCAGCAGCCCGCATACCACACGCATGGCCACATGCAGACTGCGCCCGTCTCATGCTGCCTTGGATGGTGCAGGTGTTTTGCAGCAGTACCTGTTTAGCTAGGCAGACCTGAGCGACGTTACCTGAGCTTCTGAAGATGTCGTCTCCAGCGCCGCCACCCCCGCATGCTTCAATCGCTCCACCGCCGCCTGCTCACTTGCTGCCCGGTGCTGCGGCACCTCCACCACAAATCGCAGCATCCGCGTGCCCCCAAGCTTCCCTGCCCGTGCCGGCCGTGGCGACAGTGCCGTGTTCCGGCCTGCCTCCGACTCTGTGCCCGCATGCGATGGCGCGTACAGCGGGGCCAGTGCTGCCCGTGCCTGCTATGGCCTGCCAGTCCCAGCTGTTCCCGGCCCCTATGCAACCGAGGCAGAGTGGCTTGGCCGTGTTGTGGGGTCGTGCTCCCTCTCCCTCTCCCTCTCCTTCTCTTTGTCTCATTCTCTTTCTCTCTTTCGATCTTTTTTCCTTCTTTCTCTTTCTCTCTGTCTATTTCTTTCTCTCTCTCTCTCTCTCTCTCTCTCTCTCTCTCTCTCTCTCTCTCTCTCTCTCTCTCTCTCTCTCTCTCCATCCATCGCTACCCATCTGCGTCTTTAACCTGCGTCCCGTTTCTCGCGCTCCTCTCCCTCTCCCTCTCCCTCTCTTTCTCTCTCTCTCTCTCTCTCTCCCTCTCGCTCTCTCTCTCTCTCTCTCTCTCTCTCTCTCTCTCCTCCTCTCTCTTCTCTCTCTCTCTCTCTCTCTCTCTCTCTCTCTCTCTCTCTCTCTCTCCATCGCTACCATCTGCGTCTTTAACACTGCGTCCCTTTTCTCGCGCCCTCTCCTCTCCCTCTCCCTCTCCTCTCCCTCTCTCTCTCCCTCTCTCTCCATCGCTACCCATCTGCGTCTTTAAACCTGCGTCCCGTTCTCGCGCTCCTCTCCCTCTCCCTCCTCCTCTCCCTCTCTCTGCTCTCTCTCCTCTCTCTCTCTCTTCTCTCTCTCTCTCTCTCTCTCTCTCTCTCTCTCTCTCTCTCTTTCTTTCTCTCTCTGTCTTTTCTTTCTCTCTCTGTCTTTCTCTCTCTTTTTTTTTATTATCTCTCTCTCTCTCTCTCTCTCTCTCTGTATTTGCTTGCTGTTTGTTCTGAGCTTCCAACTGAGGAGCTGGGAAAGAAGGCAAGAAGCCCAAGGAGCCTGCTACTGTGCCGACAGGGCGAAAGCCGAAGGAAGTCGGTGAGAAGCACGGTGCATCGATCAATCGAGACCTGGGGGAGGCTATCTTGGACGATGTGCTCAAATGCATTCACTCGTACCAATTCGGTGGAGTGGTCCTTCGAAGCCTGAGTATCGCGGACAAGCTCGCACTGAGTATGCACTACCTACGCCCTCCAAAACCCATTATAAAGCAGGTTGGTGGAAATAACCAGGTTTTGTAGGATGAAACCAGGTTTTGGGTTTTCGGGGATTCAGACATAAGACATGAATGACATGAAGCATGAATCTCGACTTGAAAGCTCCTGCAAACTGCTGATGTGTGCCTCTTTTTCGGCTTCATGCACACCTTCGTCGTGGTCGATGACCACACGCAGCGGACTTAGAGGGCATCCCTATGGAAGTTCTTGCCTGTTGGTTTTTATATATAGAAACTCGCGTCAAACAAGATCAATTAATATATCAGTATATACTTCATCGATCATCAGGCATGGAACTGGCTTGGGATCAGATACCCTGCTTCTACGAATTTGGCGTAGGATGCGGCTAGTGTCCTCTCTAGAGTCCTACGAATTACTTGCTGAGGGGCGACCCGCCGCGATGTGCGGCTGGGCCGCCCAATATAGTCTTCTTCGATTTGGCAACAGAAGACACAAATGTTGAGGGTCCACTCGGACAACTGTGCTTGATCCCATAAGATGTAAAATAAATGGTGAAGTTGGTGGAGGTTTGGGGTCATCAAAAACAGCGGGCGCCCACTGTTGTAAGATAGACGGGCAGAATGGCCGAGGTAGCGAAGAAATCTGAAGCCGTGCCTGGAAATCTCCAAAGACTTGGTATGCCAGATCCAAACAGCTTCTTTGTAGCTCTTGCTGAGAAAGGAATTGATCTCTCGAGCCGCGAGACAAGCGTATTGAAGAATTGATCCCTCGTCAATCAAATGTGCATGCCGAGCACACGCACTAAGAAACCAGCGCAAAACACATGTCGACGTGGATCCTTTGCTCCAGCTCGCGGTCGGGTGGTCTGCTGCACTAGGCCAGCCAACTGTTTCGCGCGAGATTTTCCTGATCAGAGGGTTTTGCTTGTGCCGCTTGCACCATGACAGAAAGTCAGCAGACATGGCTTCGAAACGCGAAGGTATGCTTCTTCCTGGGAATATTTCATGCAAGAGGACCAAACATGAAGCGAGGAACTGCTTGGCCGCTCCTAGGTGAAAGCCGTGGAATATGTCTTGTCCCAAGAATGCGGTTTCATCCGTAGGGTCCTTTGGCAGCGACCAGAAACTCGGAGAGCCCCGATACGCTCTTTCTTGATTGATGGTCTCACGCCAGGCTGGAGAGGCCGAAACAAAATCTTCAAACGGATAATTCTCCATATCGGCCTTGCAGCAATGACAGATCCCCTTCGGCGCGGCCTTCGAAGACTCCTGCTTGGAGCAGTTCTGGAAATTTCGCAGTAGTCCGAAGGCCTTTGTCAACCAAGGCCAATCCCCGATGACATTCAATATCACAAAATGATATACTTCACCAGTCACTGCTTTGATGCCTTTCTCGTAAATTTGGAGAAAGTCCTGCACGAAAACGTCGAGGTAATCCTGGAAGAACCGATCACCGTCTTCACACTCGTAGTAGGTTTTAGGAAGGCAGCCGAGAATCCAGCGGGTAGATAAGGTGTGGCGAGTCAGGTTGAGGTACTGTTTGCAGAATGGCTCGGGGTGTGCATCTGCTGCCACATTGCTGCCATAACCTAGTATCGAGTGACATGACAATACAAGGATGGCCGACTTCTTCTTCGTGCGGCCTTCATCCCCATGCAAAATCAGGCCAACCGTCCTTGACAAATCAACCTCTCCTGCAGCTGCTCGGCGGAATATATCATGATGCGGGTGGATCTTCTGATATCGGGCCCAGAAACACTTCCAGGTCGAGTGACACCTGGTGAGGTCGGGGTGGGTTAGCCCAGACAGTGTATGCAGGAGGTTCCGACCCAGTAAAAACGTGAGCCATGCACTGAGCAAATTCAAGGGAACTGGCCATCCATGAAGCATGACTTCAGTAATCATGATGGGTAGCGTCAGCCGGCACCGTCTGGCAACTCTGTGGGCGTCACGCTCGCTGTTGTTTTCTTTGCACCCAGCCATAATCCTGATGCTGGAGCCCACAGCCTCTGGCACTTCTTCAAGCACCGCACGGGCAGCTCGAATCGCAGAGGTGACCGGGGCCTCGGCACAGCACGTGCGGCGTGGGTTTGGGTGCAGTCATGCAGTGCATGCAACAGATCGAACGTCAATCACGAAATTCCAGACAGTGACTCGATCATCATAGACAAACAGTCGATCTGAACTGCACAAGCACAAACAAGCTAGTGTTTTACACTCACAGATGTCTTGCCTGATGGGTCTAGACACGACGACGACGGCACACATGAGCAGAATCGCATCGAGGCAGATTCGTCTTTTCCATTGATCGGGAAACCTCCATGGAATCACGTGGCCGTCCCGTACTTTTCTAATTAAAGCATTGCTCAAGCAGCTTCGATTTCAGCTGCTTGCATGATCCAGTGCATATGTGGATTGCGATTGAATTGTGCAGCAAGAAGTTCACATGCTGACCGCGTCACATGGCTTGTGCTTCAAGCTCCGGTACACAACATATGTCATGTGTACAGCCGGCAATGCATCATCTTTGCTCAGGTTGTCTCCGCCGAGCCGAATGTTTCGACATCCAGGCACACCTTGGCTGGTTGGAAATCACGAGAATACTCATAAGATTATAGAAATCATAATAATAGCCGCAGGTGTAAAAGGATATAGGCATATGGGTAGGTTAGCGGGATTGATAGAGCATGGTTCTCAACACCGGCCAGGGAACTGCTGTATTTCTCTATAAGGGCGGCTTCCAGCATTGCTGGGGAGAATTTCTCGGGGCATAGAAATAATATTACCATGCCTTCCCAATGATCCCTCTCGAACACGTAGCCGTATTCCGGACACTCCCATCGCCTAACTGCATCGTGGGTCATGCCGATCTTGAACAGCATTGGTGACAATCTGGTCTGCAAAGAGTCTATGGTTTTGATCGCATGACGAAGAACACCTCCGGCTGTTCGAGCACGGACGGGCAACCTCCAACAGACTTTGTCATGAGCATCAACTCGCTTAAGTACGTCCCTGATTGTAGGAATGATGAGCACTTCTTCAGGGAGGTCTGCATCTTTCCAAGAAGATTGAGTTCTGCGGAATAGGGTGGAAGCTACAGTATTGCAGGGCACTTTGTTATCAGCACCGAGCCGAGAATACTGCTCTTGCTGACAGCCACGTCGATTCAAGGTAGATGCCGGGCTCATCCACGGAAACGGACCATCTTTTTCCTGGGATGCTTATGTGCAGAAATCTGTTTGCTTCTGGGCTGGGGCGAAAGCATTGTTCAGCCGAGATTGCAAACCAGTGGCACTTCTATGACACGTTAGCAAATCCCACAGCTCCTCATCTGCATCTTCGTAAGACACCGAGCACGCCATCGGACGAAACCTTCCTGAAATCTACATTCTAGCCGGCACTTGCAAAAGTCTGAGCCACGGAAGCATGCCACAACAAGCCAGGTCCAGACAAATCAAGGCCACAGCATCAAGTAGCAATTCCGAGTGAAGCCCGGCTAGGTCGGGGGCCCCATCACCGATGTCCTGGATCCATCTTCGCAAAGCTGGGCCTGCAGCACCTGGCATGCATCGCGGGGTTTTCTGTTGGTGGCTTTGAAAATTTGCTCGAACATGATGGGCTGAATCCTTCTTAGCATTAATTATTTGGGGATCGGGTTTCATTTCGGGTTAGCTTATTCGGGATTTGGCATTCATCGCATGCATGCAGGCAGAGCAATTGGTTTTCTTTCGGAGTGCGCACAAAGAGCCTTTCCCCGGCCCGTGAGCATAGCTAGCTTCGGACTGTGAGTTCACTCGACTTCTAGAAAGCCGAACAAGAAAACGAGATTGCGCACACGACCATGCACCCGGCCCTTGGCTGCTGTCTTTGACCCCAAAACACACAACAAGACCTTTTTATCTTGTATATGGTAACATATTAGCTGTGATTATGGGTCTGTACAGATATGAAGCCACTATAACCGTAGGGTGTATAAAACTGCAAAGACAGATTGTGGTATATGCGGCGCATAAGCCACACCAGGCTCTTCGACGTCAAGCACCTAGGAGCTTACGGTATTCGACCAAGCACTTCTGCACTTACATAAGTTAGAGTGTGCGAAACAACACAAGTGGAAGAGCTCAGGCAGAGGCACGATCAGTGTGAAACATGAACCTCGCTACATCCAAGGGCTACCGACGAATCTAGTGGAAACATCGATCGCACAGTGCCTGCTGTGTAGCAGACGAGTGATCCGTCCCGATAAAACATCAGGATCTCCTCCTGCGCTTCGCCGGCGCCTCTTTTGCCTTGGCCTTGGCCACAGCCACCTTGGGGCTAGCCTTGGCAGCGGGGTTTTTCCGAGGCTCCACTTCAGGAGCAGCTTTCCCATCCTTCTCCATGTGTTTCTTCGCATTCCTGCATGGTTTTGTTTTGCATTTAGGGCTTTTGGGGGTTTTCGAGGGTTAGGGGTATGTTTGTAACTATATTAAAGTCTATATATTTATTATAATATTGAGGGTTTTTTGGGGGCATGTGCTCTATATACATATACATATGGATATACACATATGTACTTACCATATATGGGATTGGTCTATAGAAGGGTCTTACTGGGTTTAGAGGGTTTGGGAGCTTGTAGTTTTGGGCTTGTTGGAGCATCTGGGTTTTTCATTGACGGTCCTCGCACGAAGATCGCAGGCTGTGGCTCGGCTAGACCTGAGGCGGTAGTAGGCAGGTATGGAACCAGGTAACATCGCAGCACTGTGCCCAGGAAGTTGCACTCTCCAAACCCAATCCCCAAAGCCCAAAACCTTATTGTAATGTCTATGGCAACTTGCAGGGCCTTTATGTGTGTATACATGCATGTATATACACAAACACAAAACCTAAATACACATATATACCTAGCTTCGACAAGTATCATGCAAGCCCACAAACTACATAATTCGAAACCAAATAACAGCATAATCACATAAACGGACCCATGACTTAGACACTTGCGGTGATCTCAGGGATGGGCACATAGGTGGCACCCTTCATCAACGGCTCGGCCGTCTTCCACCATCTTAGCTTGCAAGCACTGCACTCGAAATCCCGCAAACCCCAACATCATGGCCCCGAGCACGAGAATGAACCCCAATAAGGCCCGGTCTCTGAGTTGAAGCCACTAATCTCCGCTTGTGCCCAATGCAAGTTGAGCTTGTCATGCTCCTTCTCCAATTTCGTGATGCCATCCTCCAAGGCCTTGACATGCCTGGAAGCGCGAGCTTCGATGTTCAAGGCCACATCTTGATTGAGCAAATTAGTTTAGCCACAGGTACAACAGAAAGGCACACTAGTCACACTGGGGTTCGAACTCAGTCATCTCCGTGGCCTTGGAATAATTTTTGTTCAATTCCTTGACCAAGGCCCGGAGTTTGGAACTCTTGCTCAGGAGGCCCTCCATGAATTTCCAGAAGATGGCTTTTTGCTGAGGGCATCAGGGCGGAACGGAATCATACAGCAGCACTGTCTATAGGGGTGACATCTTGGTTTGCAAATAGCATGCAGGCCTCACCCTCAGACTTCTTGGCATCTCCACTCCCATCAGGTCCTGCCGGCTCCGGGAGAACCCGCTTGGTCATGTTGTCGAAGCCAGCGAAAGCATCCTTGGGCAGTTCCACGGGGTTGGCAGCCTCGGTAGTATCGTGTACACATGAAAGTTCACAGATCTTTCTTGAAATTCTAGCTTGAGGAATTGCATGAGTGTCGACCGATCAAGTACTGAAGTCAGTTTTTCTTCAAGTTACTATGCAGCAAAATAGAGCTCATGAAGGAGTCTGCAGTGGAGTGGCTTCACTCCTGCTCCTCTGAATCTCCTCCTCCTTCAGGTTCTCGACATGCCGGCCCGTTTCCCTGACCGTCACCCAGTACTCCAGGACGCCGTCGTAGACGTTCCTCCTGCAGGCACAGGTATATAAGTGGGATGGATCAGGACAGTTCATCGGTGATTGCACGCAACAACAGTAGATGTGTGCCTTATCAAGAGGGACGGGTTCTTCTCGCAATGGGCCACTGCGGCGGTGATCCTTTGCCTTGATCATCGGACCCCACAAACCCCATGAAGGTATTGTCCATGAGTGTTCCGTGTACATTGCAGCCCCTAGAGCCCATGTAAATGTAAGGGCTCGACGAAGACCACTTGAGATCTGTCTTCATCTCACTCTGCGAGTACCAACCTTGATCCTTCACAATCTCGATCTCGCGGGTGCGCTTCACCACTTTCTCGAGCTCGTTCAGGAACGATGTCTGCCAGGGTCGGCTGGCCCAAACCCTATATTAATTGCCAGACTAGACTTTAAATGCTGGGTTGTATATCGATCTATGTATATATTTATGATATATATATATATATGGATTATATATATATATATATACACACCAGAAGAGCAAACCATATGATAAACCATACATATCTGTATGTACAACATCAGCAGTATTAACATCTTATGAGTGAAGTAGAATATTTTAACAGCATAAGGAAACAATACCTATCATCATAGATACATATATGCATGTAGTATAAGAATATGTAGAACTTATAATACATGCAAGTTATGCATGTACATGTAAATACATACCCGTCCGTAAGTATTTATGGTCGATAGTGTGTATAGGGCTTGAAGGTTTTAGTAGGATTTGGTAAAAAAATACCTACAGAGTTGGGTTATCAGGGGAGCCCGACCTTGTCCCAGTTCACTTCCTGAAGGAGGGCGGCCATGGCCTCCTTCTGAGAAGTCCCTTTGTTCCATTGCTCAGCCACCCAGGCCGGCACCACTAGGTCTGAACGTTTCGCTTTCGGTTTGACCATGCGGCGAATGCGCTGTTTCGCGGCATTCTTCAGCATCTCCTTAGACAACTCGTGTATAGCGCAATATTAACGTACAGCACACTACAGTGGGACGCAGTGGCCTAGCTCACCAAAGTCGGACAAGTTGCACGCCTCGTCGGAGGGCGCTTAGCCTTCTTCTTCTTGATGAGGCCCACAGGATATCCCGTCGGATCTGCAGGGGCCGGTGGCTCATCCTGATCAATGTCACGGAGAGACAGACCGTTCAGTTTGACGCAAGAGTGCAAGAGACATGCATGTACAGGATCCCAAGGCAGGATAGTTCACGTCAAACCCGACAACAGTGTGTGCATGATCTTATACGTAATCTTGTGTGCCCTCTCCTCGCCCTGCTCTTCCTCCTGTTCCTCCTGTTCCTCCTCATCTTCTTCTTCACTCTTCGATAGGAGGCTGGGCTCAGTCACTGCCGGCACCCCTCCCGACTCAGGCGGTGGGGCCACGGCTGGGATGGCTGGAGGAGGCACCGGTGTCGGTGGCTCATCGACCTGCAGGGGAAATACGATTATAAGAGAAAAGTCTGCATTATCGGCCGATCAGATGATAGCAATGTAAGACTTTACCTGTGATACTAGCTTACTAGCAACCTTGCCTGCGTATTTTCAAAGGGCTCACCGAACTGGGCAGGCTGCGTCTCGTCTTCGGAAGGTCGGGCTTGCTGTGCATCCTGCATAATCATCACACTACGTTACAGCATGTTACGAATATGTGTACAGTCACGGTACACGATTGCTTGGGTCAAATTTGGGCTATTTAATTGACGGACGTAATAATTGCTGGGGATTGGGCAATGAGATTCATCGGATAGGTTACATATATATATATATATATACATACATAGATATATTCTAAGAGGATCTTCTGTGTAGATGAGAAGGAGCTCAGTCACAGCACAATTGTAGCTCTATAGGCTGATTGGCCAACACCATACTAGATACCACCACTTGCCTCCCGGGAGTCCAAAGACAAAGTCGAAATGGAGGCCATGCGGATGGGCTTCTTGTCCAGGATAGCAAGTTCAGCCTGTAGCGCCTGTGACAGGAACCGTGAATCCATCGGTCAATCAAATCCCACAGCTTGCTTGGAATCGTTCTTATATAGCTTAAGTTTGAATATACCGAGTCAAAACCCCGCCTAACCCTATGTCAGGTTCAGTATAGTATGTGATGTGTTGTCAATGTATATATATATATATATATGCTGTATAAATATCCGCGAGGAGCCCTAGCCCTAGAAACCCTGTCAGGTTGGTTGCATGGGCAATGCCATGTTCTCCCAGGCAGCCTGATGGGGAGCTATGTTGGGGCTTGATACTTACTAAGTACAGAGACAACTATGGAAACTGAACGGTTCATATTGTGTTACATATGTTTCCTTATATTGAATATATAGGCTCTATATGCACACAAGTATTATATATATATATATACATATGTACACATATTTTTATATATACGGCACACAGTCCAGGAACACCTTCTCTCTCTTTCTTGCTCCACACATATGTAAATATGTGTGCATATGAACAGTATGTGTAATCATGCAGGGTGTAGGTCTACCACACCTACCGACATACATATATATATATACACATATATCGAATGTTACAGACATAGACCTGCGCATGGTTGCATCCATGACGTTTTGTGTATATGCATACACAAACGTTTATGTGTGTGTTCCCTTTCAACATGCACAGCATGTGCATTTAGACACATATAGTATATATACATGCGTAATGTATATGTACTGTGACACATGTGTATACATACATACACACACGTAGATGTCTATATATATACACATATATACACATATCATCTGTATACATATATATGTATGATCTATATATATATATATATATATGCACATATATATATATATATATATGTATGTATATATGCCTGTACACATGTACACTAAAGTAAACGTTCTGATCTATATATATATATATATATATATATATATATATATATATGGGAAGAGAGAGATAGACTAGTTGCGTACACACGCGCATGCAGACACTCACACATGCTTATACATCTATGTATATATATATATATGTGTATATATAGGCGTCCACACACACACGAGTTTTCGTTATAACACCGACTATGTTGTACTTATCGATGTACATGCATGGATAAGTCATGACCCCACACGATTGTGTAGCCTCGCTACTCTTCGATCTTAAAGACTCCATAATGGAAACCGGTGACCGATCTACATTATTTACAGCACACCAGACACGAAAGCTAGGTAAGCTGATATATTGCTAGAAACACTGGCACGGTCTCCGGCCTTCAGTTCTCCTAGGAGCTCCGCTTCGGATCTTTCGGGGGTTGCTGCCAGGGCCTCTTGCGTAACATCCTGGGCGCCTAGCGCTAAAGTAGCACAACTCCACCTGCCCGACATGGCAGCTCTGAGCTGTCGATCGGACAAAGCTGACTGAAGCCTGCTGAAAACGAGCACCGGGGTTTCCAAAGTCACAACAACATCTGATTGGTAATTGACCGCCGCAGGATCCATGGATGCGGTGAATGGAAGCTTCTCACGAGGTCTGCCTTTTGGAGTCAGACGGATCGATGCCTTCCGCCCAACACGTGGGCAAACCACGGTTCAGGGCCGCTCGGATCTTTAATTTGGTGTCTAAAATGCACCCAAAATGGCATGGCCCAAAACCCGGTTTTGCACTACGGGAGATTACGGGTTCTGTTCGGGAGATTACGGGGTTTGTACGGGTTCCGTACGCTTTGCCCAAAAGCAGGTTGGGTGGAAGGATTCGGGTTACATCGGGAGGAGTTCGGGTTACATCGGGAAGGTTTCGGGTTCGGTCGGGAAGGTTTCGGGTTTTGGCCTGCCAACCTGCTTTCTTCCAGCGCTGATGTGCGTAAATCATGTAAAATCAGCTAAAAACGCTTCTAAAACGCAATATGTATATTAACAAAGCCAGAACCCGCGTTCCACACCAGCAGCTGGCTTGCACGAAATGACCTAGAAATAGCTAGGGAATTGCGTATGGAAGATAGGCCCGCCATTCCTGTGGAATCCGAAGACCCTTGCCTCCTCTAATATACTCATAGGCAGCCCCGAGCCTTGCAAACTCATACAGATCCGCCTCCGCACTTTCAGGGATACCCAAGAAACTGGTCAAAGCCCCTGGGACTTGGGTACCCGGTGTTGCCGGGCATCCTTTGGCGGAGGCCTTCAGCTCCTCAAAGATCTTCGCAATGGCCAGGCCGAACAGCACGGGATATTTCCTCAGATGCACACAGCATAGAACCACTTAATTGGATTACAGTAGGCCGGGTTTAATGACATCTACGTTGTTTATGACTGCCTGCGTGGGGATGATCTCTCGATCTAGATTAGCCAGCTACATAGATATAAACCCTCGACCGTATAAACCATCGACCGATCATCGATCATCGACATAATGTGTACATATATATATTATTTAGATCACGATATATATATATATATATATATATATATACATATATGTATATATGTATATATGTATATATGTATATGTATATATATATACACATATATATATATATATGTATATATATATATATACATATATGTGTATGTATGTGTATATATATATATACCACTAGTGTAGACATATATAGGTATTGTAGTCTAGCGTCTCTGTGGCTTTCAGCTCCTTCGTCCCTTGATAGCAAAGCTTTCCGGATTTGTTGGTGTAGGAACGACGGGTCTTGACTGTCCGGTCCGAGCTCTGCAGCCTTGCCCGAGTCACTTGCAGCTGGCCCCTGTCAAGACGTCGGATAGCAGGTGAGTTGGCATATGCAAACTGGCGCTTCAGGCTGCTTGCGTAGTAGGCACCCATGTACCATCCCACACGGCTCACCTCAGAGAAGTAGAGTCATGTTTTAATTTAATTCGTGACAAATCGCTGGCTTGCCTGAATGTGACGCATGCGGGAACACACAAAGCAATCGATCTGCACCAAATGTATGCCTGACTGGGGAACCTACGGCTCCCATTCCATCAACCTGGAACAAAGCAACCAACAGATGCCGCCAAGTGGGGTAGTACTCCATCAAGGATCCACTTGGCTGTTCCAGAATCCAGCAGCCACCGCAGGCGGTGATGAGGTAGCACAGCAGAGTGACCCTGTGGCCGGCATCTTAAGGGATTTAGGATTTAGGGCTTCGGAGGATTATTGGGGTCTGCCTGGGTTTATCGGGTTCCTCTTGGGGCTTCCGGGCAGGGTTTTGCAGCTTGCATGTGCATTGATCTGTTCTATGATGTTTTCTTGGTCTAGAAGGATGCATAGTTTAGCTATATAGTCTATATATATATATATACTCGATACAACGTGGCAGCTGGCTTGCCTGCTATGGAAATCACAACCAGGCTTCTTCAGGTTGCTGATGCACACGTAGAAGATTTCCCAGGCTAGGCTTCAGGTTTCTCGGAATGTATGGCACATATATTCAGCGCGTGTCTAGTTGACTGTGTGATGTTGCTCCCACCGGTCCTTTCCAGCATGCAGTTGCCTTCTGCCACAGACGGCTTCTCCGAGAAACCGATGCTCGCTGAAGCTGATCTCCCCGAACACCCAACGTTGAGCCCGCACCAAGACGAGCATTTGAGGCCGAACCAAACGGCAAAGTTCTGGACCCGGCACTTCAGTATGAAGACAATCGCGAGACTTGGTTGCAGAGACGGATAGATAAGGATACATGAACATGCAGTAGAGGAGAGAGAGAGAGAGAGAGAGAGAGAGAGAGAGAGAGAGAGAGAGAGAGAGAGAGAGAGAGAGAGAGAGAGAGAGAGAGAGAGAGAGAGAGAGAGAGAGAGAGAGAGAGAGAGTAGAGAGAGACGAGAGAGAGGAGAGTGTAGAGCGAGAGAGAGAGAGGAGAGAGCGAGAGAGGAGGAGAGAGAGAGAGAGAGAGAGAGAGAGAGAGAGAGAGACGAGAGGAGAGAGAGAGAGAAGAGAGAGAGGGAAGAGCGAGAAGCGAGCGAGAGAGTGAAGAAGAGAGAGAGAGAGAGAGAGAGAGACGAGAGCGAGAGCGAGCGAGAGAGAGGAGAGGAGAGGGAGGAGGAGAGGGAGAGGGAGAGAGAGGAGAGAGAGAGAGAGAGAGAGAGAGAGCGAGAGAGAGAGAGAAGAGGAAAAGAGAGAGAGAGAGGGGGAGAGGAGGGGGAGAGAGAGCGAGAGAGAGAGGGAAAGAAAGGGAAAGAGAAGGAAAGTGAGGGACACGCCGGGAGATGAAGAAGGGAGGGAAGGACGAGAAAGGAAGCAGAGGCGGAGGAGAGAGAAAGCGGGAAGCAAAGACAGAGAGAAAGAGGGATCCTGAGAGAGGAAGCAAGATAGAGAGGAAGAGGAGACGAGAGAGAGAGAGAGAGAGTGTGGTGTGTGTAGTGTGGTTGCGAGGTAGGGGGAGAAGAAAAAAAAGGCAAAGGATCAAGGACGGTTTCGGCTTCGGTTTTTTCCCTCTCTCTCCTCTGTGTCTCTCTGCTCTCTCTCTCACTCTCTCTCTCCCTCTCTCTCTCTCTCTCTCTCTCTCTCTCTCTCAATCCCTGTCGCACCCTCTCTCTCTCTCTGCGTATCTCTCTCTCTCTCTCTCTCTCTCTCTCTCTGTTTCTTCTTTCTTTCTGCCTCTACTGCATCTTCTCGCTCGATCTGCCATATAAGAGAACATGCCCGAACTCGCAACAATTACATCGTGCCTTCCCTTCCTGTCCTCACCTTCCCTTGGCCTTCGATGCTTTGCCTGCTCCTCCCCCTACCTTCCCAGCCGGCTCTGCACAAGCATGCGCATTTGTGTGTCTGCATGTGCAGGTGTAAGTCTGCATGTGCACGTACATGCGTGACCAATGCGCGTGGGTGGACGTGTGGGCGTGCCTGCGGGGTGTGCATGCACTCGTGCATTACCTGTGTTCTTCTATGAGTTTGCATATTGTCACTTTGCACTGATATACATGCATGTCTCTTTGGGTGTATGCGTGTGCAGGTTGTCTCTGTGTCTCCCTTTTTTATTTGTGGCCTCTCACACACACACACACTCTCTCTCTCTCTCTCTCTCTCTCTCTCTCTCTCTCTCTCTCTCTCTCTCTCTCTCTCTCTCTCTCCCTCCCTCCCTCTCTTTGTTGGTCTCACAATCACCAGAATCTCTGTGCAATCGATCTGTCGTGCTCGGACAGCAAGAACTGGATGTGCACACATCCATGGAACGAACAGATGGCTTCTAAACTTAAAAGCAAGCAACCAAAACCCAGAAGGCGTGGTGATGTCCTGGTAGTTGCTATGCTTTCCGGTGTCCTTCCCGTAGTTGAAATCGAACCTTGCCCCTTTAAACCCACGAAGCCGCACAGCTCGGGTGCCATTTGCATGGCCAGCGAAGAACTCCAGCCAGTCAAACTCCTGCCGCAACACAGCAACTAGATGCTTCCATGATCCCCACACACAGACACGTATAGATCGAACCCATCCACGAAAAGTCTTTGCCCGGCCTCACTGAGATCGTAGAGACCTTCAGTCCAGATCACCATGAGGACCAGCAGCACGAATCCCTGGGAGGGTTTGGGGCTTGATGCTTGTAAGGATTTAGGGGTTTATGGGTCTTTGTATATAGGGTCTATAAAGAATGTGTAGGAGTTGCCTAACAATCAAATCAGGCTTATCTGCACAGTTAGATGTAAATACCTCGTACGATCATATTTACAAACTCATGAAGCTATATAGCACCCTAAGTCTCTGCTAAAGCATTCTGAGTTCATGCAAGCAATATAAGCAGCTTTGTTGTTGAAGTTGTCGTCATTTTCTACCGGGCAGGGATTGGGCTTCGGAATTCGAGGCTATATTGAGGAAGTGTAAATTTACTGAGTTGAGACCGCGGGCTCACAGGGCTTGAGTAAGGCCGAGGCTTGCTTGGGGTTTGTGGAAGGAATGTTCGTGGACCCCGAGAACCTCCAGAAAGCACTCGTTGGTCTTGGGAAGCTACAAAATCAGTATTTGCTAGTCATCGCAATAGTATACCTGTATGTATATAGAGAGGGAGCGTCTGTACATGTATGTCGTTTCACACTACGGTAGCCACCGGCAGTAGGCTAAGCTACCACGAGCAGGAGCAGCAGCAGAAACAGGTCACGAGGAGGCACCAGATCATCAGCAGCAGCAGTTTTTAGACTACTGTATGGTGATGCAGCATACTACAGTACCAGTCTAGTATTGCGTGGACTACTAGCACGGTAGTGGTTCTAGTAGCGGGTGGTACACAAGTCGTCGTGATACTTATTCGGCGTACGAAACAACTAGCAGCTTTATGATCTCATATATATATTATATATATGCAAGTTACGGAGCTGTGATCTGTTATTGTGAAGACAGCCAGCCATCTAGGCGACGAGTCCCAAGCCAGGCACAGAAGCCACAGGAGCCGATTCCCAAAGTACCCAACCCCAGGCTGCAACCAGACCAACTGATTCGCTCAACCCATATAGGCCAAGTTAAGCTTCACAACAATCAAATTGGCCCTAGCACCCAAATTAACCCACAACCTGGACCTATAGACCCTGAGCCCCTACGTAGCTGGGAGCCCCGGCCTAGCTAGATTTAAAGCCCCTATAGAAACCCCGCAGCAAACGCTATAAAGCCTCAAGCCCCAGAGCTCGAACCCCCTAAACCCCCAGACTCCTAAACCCATAAACCCCCAAACCTGCGTTCTAAACCCCTGCGAAGCATCAACTGCTCTTATTCTGCAATGTTCCATATTGCCGAAATGCACGGGGTGCGCCCAGCACGGCCAGGTTGTGCACGAGCAGATCGACGGAGATCATTATGTCGAAGGATTGCCAGAGATTTCGTGGGTTCGGGGGCTCAGTGCTAGATGACACTACGGGATCAACTTGAAGTCACAGGCTTCAGTTCACATGAGGCTTCAGTGTCGTTTGTTTCAGCACAGGATGTCGGAGCCTGAAACTTCCGACAGCAGTGTTCACATGATACAGCAAACACAGCTGTGATCGACATGATGCAGCATTGCTGAACTCGTGCACAATTACACTGCTGTCTTCGACGGCAATAGCAAACATGTCTGGTACCAAACATGCCTCGCACACGGTTCAGCCTGTGCTTCCGCTGCTTGCTTCGTCGAGAGTGTGTCGTCCTTCGAGTCGTGCGCCGTCTGCGGCCCATGATGACCTGGGCCGAAGAGATCGTTTCTAGATCTATGCGGGATTAATACATTCAGAGATATCTGGCTGATGGTGAATGCATTGAGTACGTGGACTTCTAGCAGCAACGTCGACTGTTCTTGTCAGTGCACACAAACACGAATCCGCAGGTTTTGCAACGATGCCTGTGACCCCGGCATGCTCCAAGACTGCAGTCTGATAATGAATCCACCGTTTCGGTGAAAAGCGATGATGCAACTCTTATCGCTGCACCACCGAGCATCTGCGAAGTGATGCTGCATCGTCCACCATCACGGCAAAAACTTTACACAGCTATATTGGGCCAGTCGTACATATGCCTTGCATGGTTAACATCTTCAGTGCCGTTGAATGGCGGATGCCACAAAACTCAGCGCTACTATTCATCCTACAGCAATGCACAACCCTGGCATGAGCTACGCACAGCTACCAAGAATGTCATGCCCCGGCATTCGGCCATGCTGGCATGTCAAGGATCCATGTGCCGAAATTGATGTAGTCTGATTTCACTGGAATCGCCTACAGCCCTTCATGCTCCAGGTTATCGCAAGTAACACGGCCGGCTGTCTTCCAATAGTCGATGACCGGCAGGATCGCCTCGCTTTCCGGGTCCACGATCTCCTCCTGCTGGAGGTGCTGTACCTGGGAATCAGGTGTTTTTTGATGAATTCATACGGGGCCTGTTGGGATACTTTCGTAGAAGTGACAGAAGCTCGACAGTGGTATGTTTACATGCATAGGTGAACTCTATTTAGTCTCAATGCAACCAAACTGCAACGGAACAGGCACAGGAAATCGCAACAGCTGTTGCTAGGCGTGTCTTGCCAAAGCCAAACGTCACGAGATCGGTTTGCTTCTTCTGACCAGACTCATCCGTGAATCTCAGTGTCACACCGCACTTAGCCGTTGTCCAGTAGATGTTGCACCGGTATCCAAACGAATTGTCGGGGAGGAAGGGCTTGACAGACAGCTTGAAATCATCGAGAGACCCTGTGAGATTTGACTCCCGAACCCAATCGGAAATCCACTCCACATCGCGCTCCTCAACATCGTAAGCCTCCACTGACGATGCCCTGGGTCGACGGCCGCCCTTCTTGCTAGCCTTTGCAACGCCTTTCGGGGAAGCCTTTGGGGAAGCTTCTGCTTTGGACTTCGACTTGGATTTTGCTTTGGCCTTCGCCTTTGCAGCACCTTTCGGGGAAGCCTTCGGGGAAGCCTTCGGGGAAGCTTTTGCTTTGGACTTCGCCTTTGCTTTCGGCTTCGGGGTCGGGGCGGCACGCTCTTCCAACTCCTCGGGCTCAGCCTCCGGGGTCTTGCCTCTGACCCTGCATTTGGTCTTGACCTTCTTAGCAGCCTTAGCAGCATCATCATGATCCTCAGGTGTCTGGACACTAATGTAGCCATCACCCTTCTCGAGCTTCACATAATTGTTCATCTCATCATCCCAAACCCAGTGGTCTGCTCGTGACCACCAGGCCTCAGCATCACCGTCGGGCATCGGATCCCCACTGCCGCAAGCCACGGATGTCGAGGCCCGCTTGCTTCGGCGCAATTTACACAGCCCTGACTTCTTGCGCTTAACCTTCTCCTTGGGAGCTGGCTTCTTGGCCTTGGCCAGCTTGTTCACGTCCTTCTTGCGTTTGCGCAGGCCAAGCTGAGAAAGCACCTGCCGAGATACAGAGGCGAGAATCGAGTTCAGATTAATGTGGGGCTGAACATAAATCCTATTGCAGCTCGGTTGTGAAGTCCATCACTGGCATGACTACAGAGCCATATCAAGATGAGCAATGATGGGAATGGCTGTCAAACTGTTCACAAAAGCCGAACTCATACCCTGCATAGAAGAGCATACCAGAGCTAGTCAATGATAGATCAGCAACATATTGCATGCATGGGTGCAACATGCCTCCTTCGACTCATCCGGAATGGGCTCATCATCATGGAGAGGATCCATCGGCTGGGGTGTTTCAGCACTCGGCTCGGGTGCTTCAGCGATTGGCTCGGGTGCTTCAGCAGGCAGCTCGGCTGCTTTAGCAATCGGCTCGGGTGCTTCAGCAGGCAGCTGGGTTGCTTCAGCAATCGGCTCGGTTTCTGCAGCAAACAACAGTCGTGTTGGGGTTGCATGAGCAGCCGCACCGTGCTGATACTGATCACGAAGGAAATCAGCTGGCAAGCTTTTGTCGATGGCCAGGTCACAAGGAACAGCATGCTCAGTTGGGGTAGGGCAATCAAAGATGTCCGTCACTTGGGTCTCGTCAGAGTCCAGGGATCCTGGGATATGGTTTGCAACAGGACACCCACCAACTCTAAATGTGGAATTCTAATTGAAGCCAAAGGCTGTGACACTGTGCGACACTGACAATTATTCGATAAGTCACTTGTCACCACAGGAGTGGCCACAGGAGGAGCCGGAGAGCTCACAGCAGCTGGGGGCGCAGAGGCCCGCATCTTTGCATTCCGAAGCCTTACATACAACCGGTAATCGCAAATGGATCGAACAATAAACTAATTCCTGATGTTGCAGAAGTGCTTTCACTCGTATTGAATTGTTCACATTCGCAAACACCGAGCAATCGTAAAATGCAGAAGATCGAGCTAAGAAGCGTCTGCAAGCTCAACTGTGCCTGCAAAATCCTTTGCTTAAGCAACAGCTGTCGTCGGCGATTCTCCGCCTCATCCGGGGCAAGGGTTTTGTCCTCGTCCGGAGTCGGCCCGGAAGGAGATCCTGAATAGCATGCAGCATGGAAACCGAATACCAAACCAATCATTGCCACATCAGGGTTTTGAAGCAGAATTTGCAAACATCGTGTGCTGATCAAAACGAATCCCACTCAATCAATATTATCCTGCATGCAACCGGGATGCTGGTCGAAGCTCGTGGGGGAGGCGTCACGGATGGGCTTGCGGCTGCAGGACTCACTGGGAGTGGCACCGAATCTGATGCATTAGCAGGTCGACTGGGGGTCACCGCTGGGGCACTGATCGGAGCTGGACCCGTCTCTGCACCCGCTGGGGCACTGATCGGAGCTGGACACGTCTCTGCACCCGCTGGGGCACTGATCGGAGCTGGACACGTCTCTGCACCCGCTGGGGCACTGATCGGAGCTGGACCCGTCTCTGCAACCACTGGGGCCGGCAGTGGAGCCGCTTCTACACTAGCATCACTAGTAGGTGGATTGGGTGCCACCGTTGGGGGAGTCATCGAAGCTGTGCTCGTCGGCGTCGTTGTAGCCGTAGCTGCCGGATTTGATGCTGCACTTGGTCTGGGGTCAGGGTTTTCTGGATCACTTGTTGCACCAGCATCATCATCAGGCGACTCCTCGATGTACAATGAATGCATGCTGCAAACACATGTATATTCCCCAGACGTGCAACTCTCTATATGTGTGATGCATGCATGCATGAATGTCCTCGGCTGCAGGCTGACGGCGCGCGTCGACAAGCTCCTGCTGAGCACCGGGTCGGTACGATCTTAGGCTAAAGCCTGGCAAGCCCCATATAAATCTTATAAAAAGCTTTAAGAACTCGACTCTAGATAGCTACGAATTGACACATAGAGTGACACACACACAAACACACACAAGTCAAGCTGTGAGCACCGACGAAGACACTGAAGATGAACCTGGCTCAGAAAAAAATCCGGTGCCCGAGCCTGCAAATCCGGGTTCAGGATGAGGCACATATCCTGGAAATCCGGATCCTGGGATGTGGAAGCTTATAAGGGCCCAGCTTTGAAGCTAGTACAGCCGGTTCTAATGTACATACGAATGCATACGATACATGGCAAAAAACTGAATCCAGCCGGGAAGCTAAGGAAACCTCGTGTCGCTGGGCTTTCCGCTTGATGAAAGTAAGAAGTTTGCGCAATTCCCATGCCATATCATCAATATGCGACTCCGAAAACTCTCTCTGATTCATCATAAGCAAATTTTCGATCTCTTCTCTCAGAAGCTCCACCTCTGGGCGCTTGTGTTCACAGGCCACAGAGCGAAGCAATAGAGGAATCATGACATCCCGATTTGCCTTGCATCTGTTGATCGAGTATTCGGACATTGTACCATCAAGCAAAGGTTTCCCGGAGCGCAGACGGATTCGGATGGCCTCAATCGAATCCCACTCATCTCTCAAGCCTTCCGCATCGAACTTGGGTCCCGCCATGACCCCAAACTCGAGGAAATCACAAAACGAGCCCTGAAGCCAAAAGGAGCTACGATTGTTGCGCATGCGATATGCAGCTATGAAAATTCAGATCACTCGTGAGCGGCAGGATTCAAAGCCTTCCAAGGCCCAGGCATCCCAGCTTCAGCAGGCCCTCGCCCACATTCTACCACAAAGGCTCCTCTCGAGCCTGGTTGTGTGCCTTCGAATTCCGGCTACAACCCTCAATCGACCCAGCAGCAATGGAAGAAAGCAGGCTCCAGGATAAAACCAGGTTTTATGCAGAAGAACCAGGTACTTTCCTCAAGTTGGTCAATAACCCGGTACCTGACAATCAACCCGCTTTAAAGCAGGTTATGGAAGCCGTAGGTAGAGATAGAAAAGTTCTGCGCAGTCTGCGTCTGACTACAGTGCCTGCGCTGCAGATGCCAGCTTAGGAACTGATGTGGAAGCTGACAGGCCAAGGCCCGGATGATAAGACCATCCACCCCGACAGAGTCCTGCCGCAAAGTTACAGTTGTTTTTCGAGTTGCTGAGTCTGAGCTGCTTCACTCCTCTTGTGCCCGATGCTCAGCCGCGCAATTGGTGAAAGATCTCGTGGGCGAGTATATGCGGCTCGCGGCTCAGGGCACAGTGCCTAAGCAAGACCAGAGCTACTTGGCTTCAGATGGGGTCGGAGTTGGTCTTGAACACATCATGCTGCGTTCGCTCAAAGTCCAGCCTGCTTGTCGGATTCTCTGCGCCTTGCCGCCCAGTCAGCTCGGACAACCTGATCATCGAAGTGAGAGAGGACCAGCAGTACATGGCAGCCTTGAAAAAGAGCTTGTTTGTCTACGAGCACGGCGGCCAAACCGTGCTCTCCAACGGACAGCAGCACCAGTACGTCGAAGCAACTACGACGCCTTGGTTCCGTGAAATCTTCTTTGATAGAAAGCCCCTTACCTGCAGACATGACTGTAGCAATGCCAGAACTGCGAGATTAGCTCGCGACAATTGCTGCCTGAACGCTCCGTGTCAGACATATGAAAGGTGTCTGTTGCCCTACATCACCAACGGTGTCATCAGCAAGCTCGTTTCCGAGTACGTGCCGCTGCCAGTGCACAGCAATCCACGCGGCAAGCCCAGCAAGGTTGGACCGACTGTTTCGGAGCCTGAGCATGGTGGACTCCAAGCGGGTGCACCGGCTGCTCCCCCGCATCGTGGAGCAACTCCGAAGTTTGGAGCCCTTGGAGCAGGTCCGGCTTCCAACGAGCCTGCCGACTCGACAGGCGTGCTTGCAAAGGTGAACTTGGCTGTGGAGACACCCCTGCAGCTGGAAGCGCCGACACCCCCTGCCAAGCGCTTGAAGACGGAGGCTAGGGCAGCCTGCACGATACAGCACTCTAAGTGAGACTTAGTTGTAGCCGTGATCGTGCGTGTGCTCAAGGACAAGCGTGGGCTCCACGACGCAGCGTCCTTACGTGGTCTTGTATGGGGACAACGATGAGATGGGGCGGGAAGAGCCCAAGCTCCTCAGGGTCGACGGTGCCAAGGCACATGTCGTCGCATTCCTTCCCGTGAACGGGGCCATGGACTACGAGATCAATCGCCACCGCTCTGGTGATTTCTATGTCCACAGCAGCAGCATGGCATTCAGCGAGTGGTGCGATGACCTCGCCACGAAGCATCTCGAAGCGAAGACTGCGTGGATGGCACCCGAGACTCTGCCGCCGTCGGAGCGAGAGCCGGATGAATCCGGCGTTTGCCGCTCCTTGCACATGTCATTCTCAGAAGAGGTCCATACCGGTGACGACTCCTGGACCTATTCACGTTATCATGCGATGCAGAATGTGATGTGTGTGTGTGTGTGTGTGTGTGTGTGTGCGTGGGTGTGTGTGTGTGTGTGTGTGTGTGTGTGGGGTTTTGCGTGTGCTGGCCGCAGTAGTTCTGCAAGATCGCCGTGCTCAGGATTCCCAGCTGCACGGAGGAGTGGAGTCGCAGCCACCCGAGGGCGCTTCTTGCTTGCAACCTCTTGCTGCCACTGTGTGTGAAGTGAAGCCTCAAGGGTGTGACGGTGAGCTGATAAGGTTCCTGATCTTGAGGAGTCCGACGATCTTCGAGCCTGCCTGGAAGCGGCTGAGGAGATTCACGGTGTGCAGGTTCTCGAAGAGTCCGGCATTCCAGTCGGCTTGGTGGCGCCAGCCCCACCGCCCCAGGACTAGCGCACAGGTGCCTGGGTTTCTTCTGACGTGTGGAGGTGAGGGCTTTGAACATTCTGTCGATCAGTGCGCCCCCACCGGGCTGGGCAGGAGGTTGCAGCAAGGCGCGGCAGGGCGCCAGAATTAGGGGTACGCTCCGGCACGCCCTTGTCACAAAGGGGATGCCCGAGCGTACCCCTAATTTTGGGGCTGGGGCCAAGGGGTGGCTGGGGGCAGGGCGGGCAGCAGGGGGGGGGCCCAGACCCCGTAAAGCACGCGGTAGGGGTGTGCTTAACAGGGGTGGGTGGGGTGGCGGACCTGTCCACCCACACCGCAAGGGCGTGCTTAACGGGTTAACGGGGTGGGTGGGGTGGGGTGGTGGCCCCCGGACCCGTAAAGCACACTGTCAGGGCGTGCTTTAACGGGGTGGGTGGGGTGGGGTGGTGGCCCGAAAGAGGGCCAACAAGGGAGAATTTCCCCCAATTTGGCTGCCCAAATTCGGGGGTTGGGTTTTAATACTTTTTTGCTGGGTTTATTTCTCGCTCTTTCCGCGCGGCGGGACGGACATAGCCGGGAAAACTTATCAGCTCCAGGTAGAGGGACTTATGAATGGAGGCCGTGGCTTATGATTTATGGTTCCAGGACTGCACATCCACACTGAAATAGTAATTGCCGTCGAAAACGCATAATCCACTTGACAAGTTCATCCTACTTTGGAGTGCACCCTGAACCTTAACTGATTAATTGGACAGTCAACCCGGAAGCTTAAACCCGTGCAACATCGCGACCGGACTTGGGCATGAAAAATTGAACCCCAGAGACGAAAGTGAAAGCTTTAACTCGAGATTCCGCGGAAGGGTCGTCGTGAACCTGCACCCAGAAACCAGAACCCTCAAACAAGAGCCTCGAGCCCTAGAAGCAAAGTCGGATCTGTGCAGTGGCTCCTTGTCAGGTGTCTGCCGGGCGAGCGGAATGATAGCATGTGCCGCGCTGCCTGCTGCTTCGTGTGAAGATTGTTGAATTTCCTATGGCACCAGCTAGCCTGCAGGGAGACGTTTGCGCAGTAAGGCCCAAGACGTTTCTTCTTTTAGACCCACCTTGTCGTGCATCCGTGCAATGCAGCAATACCGTGTCGGTCTGTATAAACTTATCGGAGTCAGACTACAGTCCTTGCAGTTGTTTTTCACCCGTAAGCAGGGCTTTGCTGGTGACAGCGAGTGTGTTCGCAAGAAACTGCTGGCTGGTCTCTGACGTCCACGAGTACAGCCAAGAGATAAAAAGAGGCTTGCGACTTCTGTTTGTTTAGCCAGGAGCTAACTTCAGTTGCCTATAGCAAAGCACGAGCGTGCCTCCCCGTGTACCAGAGGTCCTCTCTGGCAACCCGTTGCACACGAACCCCGATGTTACGCAAGATGCGCAGCTGGAGCTGCGGCTAGCAACACAACTGGCCGATGCTTGGACCGATTTGGGAGGTTTGTTGGCAAGCATTAGCTTCCAGCCGGGATGGTTGGGCCCCGCGGGCAGGAGATGGAAATCGCTGGTGAGGTCGCACCTGGGTCCCTGAAGGAGGCTCGCAAGCTCGGCAAGTTCATGAAGTATGAGCCGCTGAAGTTTGTGCAGGCTGTGTGCAATAGCGTGCTACAAGGGTCGGGGATCAATTTGGATGGTTACCTTCCTTCCGCGGAGCCACCTCGCGAGCCGCACAGAGGGGACCTCGTGTCCAAAGGTTGCTGCGTCTTTCTTGGCGACCAGGAGAAAAAGCAGCAGCTTGCCAGCAAGTCTGCAGAAACGCATAACGTAGGAAAGGCGAAACCGGTGCAGGGGTGGGGCTAGATTCAATACTCCGACGATGCAGGACGAAGTTTCTGCACATACTCTTTTATGGATTCGGCCTTCGCGGCTACTTCCGACACGACCGTGTGCACAGAGTTTGGAATGACGCTACGCTGCCAGCCCGGCAAATGAACTTGCACGGTCCGCTGGCCTATTGAGCAAACCCATGCAGGGCTTCCGAGTAACGACTGCGCCTGGGACGTGATGTGGCCACGGCATGTGCATGAGTGAGTGCCGCATCCGAGGTGTGATTGCTTGCACAAGACTGGTCATGTCGGCTACGAGGAAACCATGGGGAAGTGGTGAATTTGCGCATGACATCGCAGCGGTGGCTCTGGATTGGCTTCGTTCCCACCCTGCCCTTTCAGAAACGCAGCCAGGCTGCATGAGTGTGGCTCGTCACATGCATGGCAAAGGAAGCTATATACTGATTGAAATTTGACAGACAATGTGAGGTTCACACAGGCAGCGGACAGATTCAAGCATGGCCTTGGGATGGGGCAAGACAGCTACGAGGCTATCCACGAGCACTTGCAGCAGAGCGTTGGGAGTTGGAACGCGCAGGAGGCCATTGATGTGCTTATAGGGCGAGCCAGAGTTTCCTTGACTCTCCTCTCTCTCTCCCTCTCCCTCTCCCTCTCGCTCTCTCTCCCTCTCCCTCTCGCTCTCTCTCTCTCTCTCTCTCTCTCTCTCTCTCTCTCTCTCTCTCTCTCTCTCTCTCTCTCTCTCTGTCTCTCTCTCTCTCTCTCTCTCCCTCTCTCTCTCTCTCTTTCTGACTCTCGGCCTGTGTTTATCTGTCACTGGCTCTCGCTAGTTCTCTTGATTTTCCTATTATCCTTTATGTTTCTTTGTTTCTTCTCTATTGTCTTTTTCTTACTGTACTTACGCAGGGTACTTACTTATATACTTATATTTACTGTCTGGAGTCTGTCTGTCTCTCTTTCTCTCTCTCCCCCTGCGTGGGTGCAACCACAAAAATGCTGCTTGTTGGCTTAATCTGTTCCGTGTCAGTGCAGGTGAAGGGATCCCGATTTTTTGAATGGATGGCCAAGTGGCGCAAGCTGTCCCCTTATTGGGGCTTCCTGCGCGTTGTGTACGATGCCTGGCATGTTCTAAAGAGTAGAGAGGCTGAACAAGCGCAGGAGACGGAGCTTCAAGAGCAGGGTGAGCAAGGGCCAGAAGCTTCCGCGGCCGCGGCCGAGACCGCGGACAGAGAGGGCCAGGCAGAAGAGAAGCGACCCCGCGGTGGCAAGCTTCAGCAAGTCCACGCAGACCTCATACAGGAGCTTCGGGACAAACAGAAATCGCGTCACACGCTATCCGTCGTGCGAGACATCTTGGGTGATGACAGAGTTCGAGTGTTCGCAACCATGCCACTGTGACTGCAGGTTTAGCCGGCAGTCCATGGTGTGTTGTGCGTGTTAGCGCGGTGCAGTTCTTTGTGAGTGGCATGCTCTCGGTCAGTCACTGAGGATCGCAGCTTCACAACGTGAGCATGTAAGGGACTACCAGGAGATGATTGAGGCTTTGAAGAGTGAGCATCCCCAAACTCTGGCCAAGCTGAATGCGGAAGAAGCAAGCCGAAGATGGCTTGTGATGGTGGCTCGAATCTTGAGCATCCTCACCGACGAACCCTTGCTTGCCGAGCTTGGCTTCTCCGTGCTGCAGGATGAGGCGTGTGAGGAGGGAGCTGCACATGCGGAGCTGTTTTTTGATTTGGTGGTGAGATCTGCGTCGCAACGCAGCTGGACCCAGTGCACCTTGTCTGAGCTGCCACCGCACTGTTGGTGCGCTGTAGTGTCGTCTGACATGACGGACGCCAACGCAGCTTTGAAGCAGATGCGAACTGACTGCGTCGTGGTAAAGGCTGCCCTCGCCGCCATCCGAGCTACCCCCCCGCATCCAGAACTGCAGGCCCGGTCGCTTCAAACCGTGCTGTGCGCAGGTCGCGGCAGCTAACAGCCGTGTCAGTATCAATACAAAGCATTTTTTGCTTCAGCTTGCGTCTCAGGGCTTGAAGCTTACCACGAACAATTTGTGGTTCCACAAGCTGACAATGGTGGCCGCCGCTTGGACATCCAACCGAACTCTGTGCTGCTGTTCTCAACCCTAGCTACACCCCAAGCCCAAATCCCTCAAGTCGGCTCAAGGCTCAAGGCAAATCTGCTGTCAGAAGCTGTCCGGTTTCTTCTGGTGTTGGCAAATCTGCTGTCAGAAGCTGTCCGGTTTCTTGTGGTGTTGGCAAATCTGCTGTCAGAAGCTGTCCGGTTTCTTCTGGTGCTGGCAAATCTGCTGTCAGAAGCTGTCCGGTTTCTTCTGGTGTTGGCAAATCTGCTGTCAGAAGCTGTCCGGTTTCTTCTGGTGTTGGCAAATCTGCTGTCAGAAGCTGTCCGGTTTCTTCTGGTGTTGGCCCCCGTCCCAAATAAAAGCAACCCGAAACCGTCTAGCGCGTTCCAGTGTATGGTCGGAGTGGTCCGTGATCAACGAAGGATTGCTGGCGCCACATGGAGCATTTTCAATGGGATCCACGTGCAGTCTACACGCACTGCCTGCGCCTTGCAAGCATGCCGATTTCGACAAAGGAGTCTCTCGAAGACCTGATTGGTGAGACAGGCGACCATGTCTCCAGAGATGCCAAAAAGCAAAGCGGCGCAATGCCGGAGCGGAGCTTCTTCTACAACTGCACATCTTCCAGGTTGCAGAGTGTGCCCTACCTCCGCCTGGGTCCGGGCGAGTTTGTGAGCGAAGAAGCTAGACGGCATACGGGTCGCCGAGAGCACGTGTTCGGCGAGAGGACCCCCGTGAAATCAACAATCGCTAGCAGAACAAAGGAAGCCTGTCGAGCAGGCCAGCTCAGAATGCATGCAAGTGTTTTTGTTGAGTTTGCTAATCTCAGAGAGCATTATAGGAGCCAAGAACCCTAAACCTACGCCGGTCTAAAGTCTTGGAAATAAGATTGGCTCTCAACCCTAAGCCCTTGGCCGTAAACCCGAAAGCCCGAAGCCCTAAAGCCCTAAATCCTAAACCGAGTAAGCCGAGATCCAGAAGCTTTTGGAGGCGGTTGGTTCTTGCATGATACAGTTACAAAGTATCCAAGAAATAGACTCAACCGCTAGTTTAGGATAAGGGAACTGGTGCAGTATAGGAGTTTGCGATCCCAGGTATGTGAGCCCTCAGAAAAAGTGAGATACCTTGCATCCTAAATGCAACTCAGTTCAAACAGCACCTGAACCTTAAACGCCCGTAACCCCGAGAACCAAGTCCTGCGGTCTCTACTAGGGTTTCCATGTTTTTTTTCTAAGGTCTAGGTCTAGGTATTATCGCTTTCGAAACCAAACAAACACAAGTCTCGCGCTACAAGCACTGTACAATCCACAAACACCAGACACGTTGAGTCTAAACCCCATGACCTGAAACCCAGACGTAGATCCCAAGCTCTAATCTCAGCCCAAAACCCCTGCACCCTGGAACTGTGTAGTTGGAAGGTCTGGACCAGCAGTTGAAATTGAAACCCGCCGGGCAGCCGGCGGAGTTTCGGGAAGTTGGCGCCATCACGGCCTTGCGAGCCACGTTCGGCAAAAGCTTTCATGGTTTGGGCGGCGTGTGGGTTGGTGCACTGCTTCAGGAAGGACACCTTTTCAGAAGGAAGGTAGACAACTGCGTCTACCTATCCTTGGGTTTCTGCAGCCAGGCATTCATCCTGTGGAGGGTTGAAACCGTCAGCGAAGCTTGCTCCTTTTAGCCAGCAGATGACAGGGAATTTGCTTCCTGCCAGTTCTTGCTGTTTAGGCTTCGAATCTTGGTGAGCACGAGACCGCCTAAGGATGGGTGGTTCCGCGTGTCGCGACCAGACCTTAGCTTGCAGGAGGCCAGAGACAGGTTCCTCTTGTCCTGCACCTTCTGCGTGGATGGCCCAGATGTTTTGGATGCTGCCGCTACAGAGGAATTCCACGGCATTCCTGCCCGGTACAGTTGCTTGGATGTGAATTGAATGAGTGATGCCCAAGCTGCCCCGCAACAGCCTAACCCAAACCCTCATTGGTCTTAGTGTTGCTGCATAAAATATAAGGTCGAGGCAGCGGTCTGCTCCAGCAGTGCGGAGCGCCGTGCAAGCTGATCCCGTACTTTCTCGGGCATGGGCGCCTGGATTCAACAACAACCCCTCACATTGTGTCTCTCCTCGTGAGCAGTAAAGCCAAAGCGACGCGGTACCCTGAGAAGACGGTGGGCATCAAAAGCAGAGTGCTCCCTGGCATGGGCTTGTGCATTCTGTTTGGAACTGTTTGCCGCTGTCCTTCTTCCCATTACATTTTGTCGGTGCCATGTCAATCAAGGATGGCGTTGATGAAGGCATGGTTCTCTGCGGAGACCGAGCAGCAGCAATGGGAACGATGCAGCCGCTTGCTGCAGACCTCCCACTCGCGAAAAATCGTGCAGGTCGCAGGCATTCGAGAAGCAGTCGCGGAGCTGGTGAAGGCGGGAGAGGCAGACGAGCAGCAGATGTTCAAGGCATTGGCAGCATCAATCGAAAATGAGGAAACCGAAGAACTCATCAAGGCCAGAGTCAATCAACCACGGGCCACTGCAGAAAGCAGTACACCTGAGTGCCTGAAAAAACTCCGCCCATCCGTGGAGAACTGTGTCTTGGTGTATCAGATCCGCGCGCAGAGTTTTCAATCGTACTACCCGAAACCGCTGAGTGAAGAGCAGAAGGCGAATCCAAAAGTCAAGAAGCATTTTTCAACAAGCCGGACTTTCGGAACCAAGTGGACGAAACTGCAAGCTTTGAGACTGGTTGTGCAATTCCTTTGGACGCATCATCGCAAATTGAAAAGGGTCGCTTGGATGAGCTTTGTTTGGGTTGCACAGCTGTGTCGTGTGAATCGTGTGCCAGAGTTGTTACCTTGAGTTAGCTGCAAGCTTCTTCCGAACTCAATGTTCCTAGGACTGCTCCTCCCAGCCCAGCGACGACGACATCGCTGGCGCTCTCAAGGAAGCTGAGGAGATCTTGAGTGGTCAGAAGGCTGAGCCGGCAGCAGGGCTTGCCGCCAGTGATGTGCCACATCCGGCCGCTGCTGCGGCCGCCGACGCTGGTGACGAGGAGGCGCCCGCTCTGTCATCGGCCGATGAGCCCGACGAGACGAATCGGGTACCGATGGGCATCGGTGATGACAGTGATGACGAACTCAGCACGGATTCCGACAAGAAGGCCGGTCCCAAGCCATCTGCACCGGCCGCGGCCAAGCAGAAGAAGCACCACACTGGCACTGCAACGCCGAAGGCCGCATCGAGATCCCGGGCTTCAGCTGGGGCCAAAGCCGCCGTGGAGAAGGCACGATCGACTTTCAGGCCTGCCGTGAGGGAGATCACAGCAGAGCTAGCAGCGGGTGCATTTGGAGGAGCTGCAGCCAGCAGCTCTTCTAACGCCAAACCGCCCGAGAACAAGAAGCGCAGGATGACGGAAGATGCACCCAAAGAGAAGAAGCAAGACAAGAAGGCCAAGGACGAGAAGAAGCCAAAAACCAAAAAGAAGTGACAAGCCGTGCAGCACGAAAAAAAGACTCAAGCTTGCTGTCCTCTGCAGTTCCAGTGTGAGCAAGGCGAGCTGCGGTGCCCAGTAGTGGATATGATATCATACTAATATTAGCCTAATATCAGTCTGATAAAAGGTTACTAGCATAGGGGTACGGTCCGAGGGGTCCCTCCCGGAATCCCTTGATATTAATTTTGGAGGTGTGGCAATGCCATTGTCACAGACATGTTTCTGAAGGCGGAGTGCCATGGGTTGTAACATGTGTTCCATGATCATTATGTATTGACATGATTGTGTTGCCTTGTGTTGCATTATGCCATCAGGAATGTATGTCTCTTTGTAATCCCAGGCGGTCTGTCGATTTCACAAGGATACTGCAGATGCCTGTGGACAAATCCGCGCCAAAGGCAGGATCCAACCTGTCCTAGAACACCAGTTGGGAGGGACCCAACAAAGGACCACGGAAGTCTGCAATGGGGTGCATCCGTGTTTAAAAAAACATATGGCCTTTGAAGGGACACCATCCCCATACCGCCCCACAGGCCCTGCAAAATCTTAGAAGACATTTGTGACACTTGTGGCATGCCCCGGAAAAATCTTATTGAATCTTATTGAATCTTATTGAATCTTATTGAATCTTATTGAATCTTATTGAATCTTATTGAATCTTATTGGTCCATCATTTTAAAAGGGACACGACTCCAGATCGCCCCAAAAAATCTTATTGAATCTTATTGAATCTTAGAAGACATTTGTACAATTGTGGCCTACCCCGAAAAAATCTTATTGAATCTTATTGAATCTTATTGAATCTTATTGAATCTTATTGAATCTTATTGAATCTTATCGGTTTTACAAGGGACACAGCCTCCAGCTCGCCCAAAAAATCTTATTGAATCTTAGAAGACATTTGCAGGATTGTGGACTACCCGAAAAAATCTTATTGAATCTTAGTGTTCGGGCCATCACGTTTTGAAGGCACACCGACCCTGTACCAGACAATTGCACACATGTAGCATCCCCTCCCAAAAGTCTTGTTGGAGCTTATTGAATCTTGGGAGCTAGTTATACAATATCGAATCCCATTGAATCGGCACAGTCCAGCTAACCCAACCAAATCCCTACGAGTAGTAACACATCTTATGATTAAGCATAAACTAGGTGGCACTCTGCCTTGAAGTACCTTTAAACCATGGACCTCCTTAAAACCTAAAACCCTGAAGCTCTTTTAAACCCTAAACCGTTACTGTGTGTGGTAAGTTTACACATAGACCTAGGTATATGTATAACATACATACATACATATAGATATATGTATGGATTATATGCATACACTTATTATTGGGCATACTGCTTTCGAACATTAAACTACATCATCTATTAATAGCACTCTGTCTTCAAATATGTGTTAATCTAATGATCATGTGCATAAATGCTTGTGTCGTCCAGTGGAACCTATTGCATGTGGTATTGAAACGGACATGACAATCAACTTCTAGTACCTGTTCGTACTATCCAACACATATAGTTGCTTGCAGCTTGTTGGATCAAAGATATTTAAAGTTAAGCACCATGGCACCGAAACCGAAGGCCAAACCGGCAGCAGCGGGGAGGATCGGCGGGGTGAGGACTCCGAAGCGACGGCCTCGTAGAGTGCCGCCAACCGGTGTGAATGGCATTGGTGAAGAAGGTGGTGGGGCGGAAGGCAGAGTGCCAGGGCCACAAATGGGTCCGCCGCCACCAACGCCTGTGAATCGGCCACCTTACCCACCTGGCCCAAGACCTCCCGCCCCTGCGCGACATGAGTTTGAGATTGCCCAAGCTGTGGCAGAAGCGTTGGACATTATGGAGACCCCGATCATGATCAACTTCGAGCCGGATGTGGTTACTGTTAGGGAGGGCCGCATTGTTCTGGTCACCCTTGAGAACTTGACCCCTGAAGAGATGCAACGTCGGCAGTTGGGACGGCGAATTTGTGCCATGTGTTTCAATGCTCCAGACAACCCGCCGCCACCAATAGTGCCGCCAAGGCCGATGCCTGAAAATGGCTATCCTGGCCCTAACAATAATGCCAACAGTGGAGCTACTGAAGGCAGAGTGCCAGAAGGCAGAGTGCCGGAAGGCAGAGTGCCAGATGAGTTCGAAAGTGGAGTTCGTGGTCAAATGTTTTTTCGTTTGGAATCTCGCCCGGATGCCTGGTTGACTGGGCCAGCTCGTGCCGAAGGTGAGATTCACGCCTCAGACTCAGATGTGATTGAGGAAGGTGTTCGAGATGTTCGTCTTGGTGAGCTTGGAGGGCGGGGTCGTTTGGGTATTGATTATGGGCACATCTCAGAAGAAGACCCGGACTGGAGTCAGCGCGGCTCAGCGGATGATGGAGCCCCCTCAGATGTGGAGGAAGGTGAGGAGTCAGACAATGAGGAGATGGACGCACTGGACGAAGCTCAGTCGTCCCCAGACTCAAATCAGTATGATTCTGCAGGTGAAGGCAGAGGATTTCGCATTCGTGGTCGTCGATCGGGGTATATCTCCTCAGAACCACCCTCCGACTGTGAGCCACCTGAAGATTTCTGGTGGCCCTAAGGTTGATGTCTTTCAATGACAGCTTGGAAACTTTACAGAAGGCAGAGTGCCAAGAATGCTTGTGTCTGCCACCTCGGTGGCCTCGGAATCGTCGAGGACGATGGATGGACTGCTGTGTGCGGTACCAGAAAAACGAGAATCGAGTGAGGGTCTGGCAGTGCTGTATTTGATTGCTTGAGCATGAAGTCATGGTCTGCAACAACTATGCCACATGTGAATTTCAACGAGTGATTGCATCATGTCTGTCTCATCCTTGTGTTGTGATGGATCAATCGACTCACAAGTGTGTCAACTGCTGAATGTGCTGGTTCACAATTACGTTGTTAATTCGAACACCCTTGAGGTTAAGGTGTTACACTTTCTTGCGGATAGGACAGAGTGCCATGCACAGTGCAATTCGGAGTGCCATGTCTGCAGCAGCAGATGACCCGGCTGAAACAAGAAGAAGACTGTTAGCAGACATTCGGCGGCAGTTTGATGCAAACATCGCACTGGAGAAGAGATTCTTGGCCATTTCGAGAGGACAGGATGTTCTGCGCCTTTGCGAAGTTGACCCGTCGCTTCTGGAGTTCCATAATGAAGGTCCTTATGAAGTTCTGCCTGAGTGCAACTATGATGTGATTCTTGAAGCCAGTGGGTTTTCCTGGATGATATCAATCTGGCAACAAATGTTATCAGAAACTTTTCCCATCATGACTTCGTGGCCATGGAAGAAACAGATGAGATTCCTCATCAACTTTTGTCATTGGAAGCGGAACATAAGGCAGAGTGCCAGGTTCCACTTCCTGGAGATCTTTGCAGGGCAGGGCAACCTCAGTCGGGAGATGCTCCGTGCTGGCTGGCAGGGGCTAGCCTTGGACATCAGGTACGGCACAGATCATGATATTCTTTCTGTGAGAGGACTTCGCCTGGCTGTCAATGCTGTGTGTCAAACACACAAACACGGCCTGTTGTGGTTTGGAACTCCATGCTCTTCCTTCGTCCAACTCTGTAAATACAGTACTGGAAGGTCCATTGCCAATGACTGGATGGGAGAACCTGAGCGATCGCTGGCATGCCAAGAAGGCAATCGTTTCATGTATGTGACGCTGCTGTTGACTTTGCTCGCGGCTTTGAATGACAACCGGTTTGTGATCGAGCAGCCTTGCTCCAGCATGCTGTTCGACATTCCACTCGTCGATCGTGTCATGGGAATGATCCAGGCTATGAAGGTCAAAACCTATGGTGGTGCCTTCGGCCAGCCCATCCTGAAACCGCTTCAACTGTGGAGCAACTGTCAGCACATCAATGGTATGCGGCGCAGCTATCCTTCCCATGTCAGAGGAAGTGCTGGTTGCGTTGATCGAGATGGTGAGAAGTTCACCGGTCGTCCTGAAGATCTTCAGGTGTCAGAGGAGTACACCCCGGAGTTCGGCAAGGCTGTGGCCTTTCATATGATGAGGGATGTCCCAACATGAATTGTAGCTGAAGGCAGAGTGCCAATAAGGCAGAGTGCCATAATTCTCTAGAGTTAAATGAGCTTGCTTCATCTTTCGACATTCTGTCTTGTTGGTATTCTGCTTTCCAATGTTGGGACTGGGTTGAGCCCTGGACCCCGTCCGTTCCCTCCACGAGGTGCCGAGGAAAATCCTCGCCGCCTCGTGGAAGGATCTGAGTGATCCGAGCTGGTGCAGCTGTGCAATGAAAATGTAGAGAGCTTCAGTCACTCCGTGATCAGATGTGTTTGTCGGTATTGTCTCAGTTCGTATGCTGCTGTCGTGCAGGTGGCAATGACCTGGCTGGTGTCTCGACC